ACATGTTCATATGTTGAAGATTCTATGCTACAGAGTACAGAAATAACAAAACAACCTACCAGTCCCATGTCCTTGCAGTGATACTTTAATTTTACTAGGCTATTGAAGCACAGAATGCATTTCAGATGCGTTGGACGGGTCTTCATAAATCAGTGGTATTTATTGGGTAGAACTGAAGATATGTATATTCTGTTCAAAGCTCTAAGAAAGTCGTGGTGTTCGTCATCCAAGCATGTAGTAAAGCTAAGACTCCACCTACCAAAGCATCATCTGTACCAGATTTGTAAAGATCTCAGTCACAGACTTTAGTTCAGACAGGTCTGTAGGGGCAAAGAGTTCTCCAATTGACTCTTCAAGTGTGTTTGGCAGAACAACCCAGCATGAATGGATTCCTGCAACAGCTAACACTAAAACAGCGTGCCGTAATGAAGGAACTGGAAGAGCAACAAGGGTGCCTGGGCTGAGGATAATGAAATGAAGAAAGGTTCATCGAGTAATTTTCTGGGGGACTTCCTCTTGCAAAAACCTTCATTCTTCAGAAGCACATATGCAAAGAAATGTGTCACCAGAAAGTAGGGAAAAAGAAAATCAAACTCACTACCTCTGTGTTAAAGACTCGGATCACCTGTACAGCTTCATGGACACAAATACAGCACCATCTATAGCATTGCAATGCCACAGTGAAAAAAGATCATAAGCATTGATTTTAAACATTAAACTGGCAAAGAAATAAAAATATAAACACATACTACAGAACTGAAAACAAGCAAACAAGAAGTATAATGCAAAATTCCAGATTGAACAACGAAATGGACCAGAAACAGAAGAAAAAGAAACACTAAACCTGAAAGAAATAGGGAGGGCTTAGAAAACAATGTTATGTCAAAGCTGTGTAGCTATGGCACTATCCTAATGAAGCAGGAGATGCAGGGTTAAATCCCAGCATGCTGAAGTGGTAATTGAACTCAGATCTACCTTTCTCTGGGAAAGGACTTTCACCATGCTGTACCATAAAGTTATGATAGCAGCAGCAAAACATCAGTATTTAGAGAAGAAATTACAGATGCCTGTATCTATGAAAGATCTGTGGTTTTCTTCCTGACATTACTCATCAGACATGCCTGAGCTTAGCAGAGCTCTATGAGAACAGGAATAGGCAGTGTTCCCCATGGCCACCTCAGAATAGCAACCCAAGTTTTCTCCTGGATGATACAGGGAGTTTTGAAATCTGCTCCATGAAAACCAGGTGCCCAAATGGAAATTTTATAACGTCTACCCATCAATCCTTAATTTGATCTGGTCCCATCAGACTGATCTCCAACAAGGATGTTTCAAACAACAGACACTGCAATCTTTGATTTGGATTGGAAAGTTATGTCCATGCTTTATTACGAGAGGTTTTCTGAGGAGTTCTTGAAAATTCTAGACCTGCCCCAGAACCTGATTTCCATAAAATAAATGAAAATGAACAATTTGACCTTAGCTGTAGCTCAGTTTAGGTGTGAAAATCCCAGGTTTTAAATTAATAGACTAAAATCTATTAATTAGCTAAAAACTCCTACTGCCTAACAACCCAACAAAATTGGACATATAAAATAGTTGGCAAGTCAAAGCAGAGTAGCAAAACTTGATCTGCCATATCTGCAAAACTGGGAAAAATTCTTCAGTGAAGGCTGGAGGAAGAAAGACTCCACACAGGCAGTGAAAATACAAATTCATTTTCAAAGAACTCCCAAGAAGACAATCACACTATTTGTCACTTTGAAGGTCTCCCCAGCTTGTCAGTCAATAAGATACCAAGTTGCCTTAAAGTACCTCATGCATAGACACATACATTTGGTTTACAAATAACAGATGATGGAAGGCAATTTGATTCAGATTACTAGCCAGGATTTCTAGCTTTACTTCTTCCAAGCAGTGACGAAAACAAAACTAAAAAAAAAACAAACTAAAAAAAAAAAAAAAAAAAAGATACAGTTAATGCAAATCTTGAGACTAGTAGTCCAAGTTCCCACATCGGCCAGTTACTGATGTGTGTACTCCTATGATCATTATTAAAATCTAAATCTTATCAATGCAACTGGCTTGCAAAACCCATTCAACTGCCTGCGCAAACTTACAGCTGTATCTTCATATCAAAGATCCCAAGGGAGTATTTGACACAGCTATAAACAAACAGACATTCTCATTATCTGGATACATGGAAAATAAGACCTGGACTTTGCTGTTGCTTGACTTCTGAATAACAAAAAGCTACAGATAACTAACTATGAAACAGTACTAATGGCTGGTCTGGAAGCCATATTAAAAAATACCATCAAGAATGACTATAAAGAAATACTATCTAGCAGGACAACATTATGGTGGCTAACAGATCGAGAGAAGGAAACTCATCAGGATAAGTAAGGTGTTTAATTCATTAAACTTCACTGCTAAATCAATAGGCTGATTTGAGCTTGAGAATTTTAGCTTCAGCATAGTCTTCTTGTGCTAAAAGTTATAGATCTACCAAACAATCAGACTTTAATTATAAGCACGTCAGCCTTTAAGCAAATAGTTACCCTACACAGAGTTTGTACAATAGAATCGAAAAACCACACCAGCTTTGGACAGGTTACTTAGGCAGAGGAAACAATTTAGTCACAAGACTCCACCCTGGAAGTAGCAGCAGTTTTTTTCTGATTGGACTTAGAGCTTTCCTTGACAGAAATGTGATTCTGGTTATAACCCAACATTGTCACAGCTTCCCCCATAAATATACCTTTAAGTGTGAGAAGCTTTTAGCAGGAGATTGCTGAGTTAAGGCCCTCAAGTCTACAAGTCTATGCAAGGGGGTAAATGCTATCACAAATGAATATGCTTCATCAACAACCAGCAGTGGCTTTGCATGGGTGAAACTCCATTCTCTCCTTATACTCTTTCCCTATTCTATTTCTGAGATATTTCAGAGTACATTGCAAGACAATAAAACAGTTCAGGAATACTGCTAAATGCAGAACTGGAACACATACGATGTGTCCTGAGAAGGCTTGGAATTGCCACACACCAAGTATTTAAAAGTGTGATTATTATCACTTGAGGAAGACCAATGTGAGAGTTGATCCAGTGCAAGTCACCTACATGTGCTTGCTTCTGGAACTGTACAGTTAATTACCTCCATTTGTCCATTTTTACAGCAGCTAGTAAAGAAGCATCTTATTTATGAAAATTTTGTAGTATAAATCAAGACACTTGTTAACCCAGAACACGTTCGATTGCACATTCAGTAGAAGACATATTTTAAAAGTCTGAAAATTTTAGGCTTCCTTTGAGAAAGTTTTGGCCAAAAAAATTCCAGTGGCCAGACCTTTGTTAAGCCTGTCAGTTATCTCCATCCAAAGCAATGCTGAGCAACTGTGATAGATATGAAGAATCATGAATGAACATTCTGCTGAGTCATCAGTGAAATAATAGCAGTAATTTATTCTTTTTTTTTCTTACTGCGGGACTATCTCTAAAAGCCTGCTGCAACAGCTTGGGTTATCTGAATTTTTGGAGCATCCTGAAAACACCTGTCAACGATATTTCAACGTTCAGACAATTAGAAGTTTTTCAATAGCAGTGTGGGCACCAGCACCACAAATTTAAGCCTACCTACTTAAGCCTACTTTCACTGAGCCTTTCTAAGGAGTTCAAAATGTTCTCACAGTTTGCAGACCAAAGTCAAAAAATACTGACATAAGGAAAGTCACAATCTTATTCTTTGCCAGAAAACTGGGGGGAAGAGGAGGGAGTGGGGGAAACAGTTCAATTAAGGTATTGGAAAGGTTTTGAAGATCTCTGGGTTGAAGTTAGTAACAAAGCACAAGGCAGTTATTTCTTGTTATAACAAGACTTCTCGGAAAGTCGCTCTGACCTAAACCGACAGCCTGTAGCTTAAAGCCAGAGAGTTGCAGTCGCTGGATGAGGAAATGACTGATCCCTCAACCTTACCCTGGTTTCCCCTTTCATTTTTCTTTTGCAAGTTATCCCGGGTGTTTTGCGGGTATCTTACAGTTATTAGCAGCCTGGGTGCCGCTGGCTGCCCGGGCAGCCCCTGAGCTCTAAGGAGCACGTTGAGAAGAAGGCGCAGACCAGCCCGGCCGTCTGGGCAAGGCGCCGAGACCAGCACCGTCTTCACAAGTGCCTTTTAAACCGCTCCTGTCGCCCAGGAAGCTCCGGCAGCTTCGGCGGGGGCCGGCAGGGAGGGCGCGGGGCTCGGAGGCAGGGGCCGACGGGGAGAGGGGGACGAAGGGAGCAAGGAAGGGACAGCGAGAGGCGGCAGAGCCCTGCAAGACACGCTCCCCAGGCCAGCTGCCGGCCCGGGATGACCCCGCGGGAGCCGCAGGCACCGGGAAAGCCCGACTCCCATCATGGCAAGGAGACATCCCCTCAGGAGGGACCGCTTCAGGAGATTGCCCCTCAGGAGAGGGCCCCCTTCAGGAGAGGTTCCCTCAGGAGAGGACCCCCCTCAGGAGAGGACCCCCCTCAGGAGAGATGCCCTCAAAAGAGGACCCCCTCAGGAGAGAACCCCCCTCAGGAGAGATCCCTTCAAGAGAGGACCCCCCTTAGGAGAGATCCCCTCAAAAGAGGACCAAAGCCCGACTCCCATCATGGCAAGGAGACATCCCCTCAGGAGGGACCGCTTCAGGAGATTGCCCCTCAGGAGAGGGCCCCCTTCAGGAGAGGTTCCCTCAGGAGAGGACCCCCCTCAGGAGAGGACCCCCCTCAGGAGAGATCCTCTCAAAAGAGGACCCCCTCAGGAGAGGACCCCCCTCAGGAGAGATGCCCTCAAAAGAGGACCCCCTCAGGAGAGAACCCCCCTCAGGAGAGATCCCTTCAAGAGAGGACCCCCCTTAGGAGAGATCCCCTCAAAAGAGGACCTTCTCAGGAGAGGACCCCCCTCAGGAGAGGTCCCTTCAAGAGAGGACCCCCCTCAGGAGAGGACCCCCTTCGCCACCGGCCCCGCACGCCGCGCTTACCTAGGCGAGCCCGGCCGCGCTCCGCTCACCCCCAGGCGCTGCCTCGCTCCAGCCCGGCGGGCGAGTCACCCACGGCTCCGGCCACGCACCGCCTCCCCTCCACGCCCAAGGTGAGCGCAAGGGGTGCGGGCCGGGCGAGCGGTGGCGGCAGCCCGCCAGCCCCCGCCTCCTCCCCCCGCCGGCCGCCGGCGAGCGCGGGCGCAGCTGGGACTCGTAGTCCCCCCCTCAGCCCGGGCCGGGCGCGCACCCGCCGCGGCCTACAAGTCCCAGAATGCCGCGGGGCCGCCGGTGCGGTGCACGTGTGCGCAGGGCTGGTGCGCGCCACCGCCCGGCGGCGCCGTCGTGACCGTTATGGCAGTTACCTCCGACCTGGCCGGGCCCGGGCCTGGGTGTACCCGAGGCGTCACCCCCAGCCCTGCCGTTCGGGTAGATAGACCCACACACGCGAAATGTATAATTACAATATAAATGTAATTGTTTTCTATTTTAAGTACAGAACTATGCCTGGGGGTGTGGGGTGGGCACGGGCTGGCAGTGGGACAATATAGAGGACGGGGCCTGGGGGCTGGCTTTGCGGTGTCCATGTGCTGGGGTACGCCCTGGCCTTTAAAGAAACCCCTGCCGGGTTGTCCCGAAATTCCGGTGAAGGAGCCTCAGGATTTATTGTCTAAAGTTGATTTGAAAAAGCAGACATCAGTGCTCCATCCTTTAAGAACACGGCATCCACAGCAGGCATCAGGTGTGGACGTGTGCCAGGCGTGTAAATGAACTTAGAAGTAGACATTTCCGAAGGACTTCATGTTGATGGGACACTTCAGGAGACTTCCTTACAATTTTTTTTTCTTTGTTTTTTTTTTCATGAGGAGCATATTTTTGCCACCACTGCTGCCTGAGAAACATGCTTGTCGGCCTGGGTCTCAGCGTGGTCAGTCTCACAAGTGAATTGATGCAGTTTTTTATTCATTTAGGGATGCAAAGGATACATAGGTATCAATTTCCTTGTGAATACTCAGGAATTCATGAAATACTTTCACAGATCGCATCTTTCAGTCCTTGATTTATGAATGTTTTCCATCATAGCCATAGCTCTCTGCCTTGCCCAGGAGAAAATGCTTTCCCACCACTCAGAATCTTAGGGATTTAGTTTTGTATATAGAACTGGTAGGAAGAAGCCATTTCGTAATTCTTATGCACTGAAACCATGAAAAAAAATTGTAAAACTGGTGTCTACAGGAATGTATAATTTTCAAAACCTTAAAATGATTACTTCAAATGTTCGCCCTTGTTAGCGTTTAAGAGTAACTTAAATAGAATTTAAATTAAGCTGAAATACAGTACTTTAAATTTCAGTGTTGACAAACTGAGAAATTTCAAGGTCAAAACATCCAAAAGTTGGATTTTAAATAAGAGATTTGTTATAATCAATATAGGCTGTAACAAAAAGGCATTTTGGTGAATACTTTCAGAGTGATATATTAGATACGTCACATACATCTGACTTCATGTGGAGTAGTGCTGGATGCCATTGTTACATGGAACTGGGTAAATGAAGATACTTTCAGAAAGACATCTTTTTTGATTCATATTTATTGAAAAAGCTTTTTTTTCCTGAAGTTCTGTAGCTTGTGTTAGAGTGCAGGTGAAATCACCTTATGAAGGTGGTGTTTCATCACTGAGGTACTGAAGTTCTGAAACACTTTATTACCAGTAAAGCATACATTACAGAAACATTCTACAGACAGGCCTGTGTTTATACACCCTGCACAAGGAGGAGGGAGAGGAGAAAGCCTGAAACAAACATGGGAATAACAGATTTCCTGCTAGAAAAATCCACAAAGGTATAAATCATTTTGAATGTTACAGTAATCCACACTACGGATTACATTACACTAATTGTGTCAGTGATTGAATTTAATTACATGAACCGAAGCTGGTTTTAATTTCTTGTGCGCGTTTTAGCGTGACCCACTGGGAAGGTTAGTAGTTCTTTTTATTGCTTCTTTCCAGCATTGTCTAAAATGGTAAAAGATGCTTCAGATCTTCAGCACTGAGAGAAGGGCAGAGATTAATATAGTGCTGAACTGAGTAGGAACAAGCTGAAAAGAGTGCTTTTGATCAAAACAAAAGAAGGGAGGGGAAGTTAATACAGAATAAACAATATGGACAATTGGAGAGACTAAAAAAAAAACCTCCTGTGGAGGGTAATTGGGGGAATTAGTTAAAGGCACACACACCACTGGAGCTGTGTGATGACAGAAGGCCCAATGTGAGCTTTGAGGGCTTGTCTGGCTCACAGGGTATGGAGCAGCGGGAGCCATTGCTCTCCAGCAGCATAAGGAAGGCTGTGAGGCACCGTCAAAGGCCAGATCCAGCGCTTACTAACTGGTTAGAGCTCCAGTCGTTGGGCTGTTTAGTTCTCAACTACCTCAAACAACTGCCAATAGTGAGTAAAGGCACAGGAACTAGCTGAGGGGCTGGGGAGTGCAGAGACTTCTAATGCTTCTGGTTGATTCATTGGGGTGGACACCATACAGGACATCCCAAATGAACAAAGTGGGTCAGATGGGCTTTATTCACTGGGTCACTCCCAGTCGCTCCTTAACTACACTCAGAGCTCTTGAGACAACTTTTTTAAGACAGAAAAAACCCTGTATGTGTTTGACACAAGTTCTAGGACGAGTCAAAACAGCTGAGTTAGTAAAGTTGAGGTGAACATTTCCATATTGAAGTGAAATGCATCTAGATTTACAGGGATTTTCCAACTGATTTCAATGGCAGTTGGCTTGGTTCTCATATTGCTTTTGTTAATTAGTTACTACCCACATCCTATACAGATATATTAGTCATGTCAAGCTTTATTGCTGTCCTTAATAGCACAGTTTATTCTAGCAGACTCTCAAACATTAGGATAGCTCCCTTTTTACCATGAGAAGTTCCTTCAAAGTGACTGAACTCAAATCCTTTAAAATGTTCCTTGAGAAGGGTGTGATTTTAGATGAGCTACGTTGATTATATGCAGTTGTGAATTTGAATGAGTTGAATGGCTTTGCACCTGCTGTTCCTAGCACACCTGGAACAATATGGTATCAGCAGAAGGCTGGCATGTATGTGGGAAAGAGGAATCTGGGACTATCAGCCAACTCTGGTGGTAGCAGCAGTAGCATCCTAATGCAGAAGTGGCTCTGAAACCTGTGGGTGCCCAGTACCTCCAAGAGTCCAGCCTTTGGCCCAGAGGCAATCAGGGAAGCAGCCGAGCCCTCTGAAATAACTTCTTTGCCACTAGCTCTTTCACAGCTCTCCCCTGAGCAGCACAGCTCGAAAGCACAACCAAATCATATATATTTCTTTTTTTCTAAAGAAGCTTAACAAAGGTACTTTCTTTCAAAAGAAATACAGATTCAAACTATAAACCCAGCATTTATCAGCGTCCTCCAGCACAGTACTCTTCCATGCCTGGAATACTATTTTTACTGGAGTTCTCCTTACAGCATGCTGGTTCAAACTTTCCCCACCCAGCATTGTGGTAATTAGCCATGCACAGACCTAATTCATTAGGCTTGCTGCCAGGTCAGTCCCTACAGCTGAGCCAAGAAGAACATGGGGAAGAAAAAGCAACAGTCATGGAACATCAGGAACACAGAATACTAGGCAGTTTGTTCATGTGTCACCTATACGACTTTTACAACCTACCTCATATCTCGCTGTTGTTTCTTCCAGGAGCAGATCCACCACCTGTGGATGGTAGGTGCTCTGTGTACTGCTTCACAGGAGAAATGCTGCAAGTGGTTATGTGGTCTCAGCTGCTCCAGATTGCTAACAGCCATTGAAGAGCACTTAAAGGCCATCCATGCTTAAGGTAGGCAAGGCCTTTTGCTGATCTCATTTGGTTTTGAGGCTCCCTCACCAGCTCAGGGGACAGCTGGAACAGCTGGCTTGTTCCAGTTACTCCAGTGTTGAGTTACGTTTAGTTTGTCACTACAGAGCTAAACTGCGTGTGGTTTATCTGCTGTACCTTGCTGCTTGTGCTTGTCCCTTTGTGTGTCCAGCAGTGGGTCTTAGAGAGCCATGCATCAGCTTCCTGCCTGGATAATAGCCCAGCCCCATTCCCCGCTGATGGATAATTGATGGGGTGATGCTGTGGCAGCATTTCCACCCAGTGACATTTGCTCTGAAGGGTTAGCAAGTAAATGAAACACAGATCCATGTTTATGGCTGTTGTCATGTCTCTTTCCAAATGTTTTCCTTTCTAGTCTAAACAAACCAACTCTCTCTACTTGGAAGCTTGGGATTTCAAGAGTCTTGTTTTTGCTGTTGTACTCTGCAGTCTCTCCAATTTTTTACATCTGTATTTAAGTGGAGGGCTCAACAGCTGGCAACTGCTGTCCACTTTACCAGCACTGACAGCCATATATATATTTACTGTATTTTACTATAATCACTTCTATTGATATAATGCAAAATGGCATTTTTTTAAACCGCTTTATGTTGTTAATTCTCTTCCTGCTGCCTAATCAGATATTTACTCACTTTGTGTGCTGGTACCTTGCTCTTTGACAGTGTCTTGTCCTTGAGCATATTTGCTGTGTTATTTCATTTCTACCCGTTTCTCTAAATTGTCAAGTTCATGCAAAGCCTAATTCAGTCCTTCAAAACACTTGTGCTACGCTTATTTTCCCTCACTAAGGTAATGGTTATGACCTGTGGATGAAGCAAGCTCAAGAGAAGAACATTCAGGCAAAATTATGAGAACTGCAGGTTTTGGTTGTTCCAGGAACTCCAGAAGGTCAGAGCATCATCTTCTTCTATTTTATTTCATTTCTCTTATGTTCTCTTTATTCTACTGGAACATGAGCTGATAGGAGATATGAGGAAGTCTATAAAGCATACTAAAAGCATCAGTTTTCATAGTTACGCCTGCCAAAGTTTTATACCAGTAGATAAGCTTATTAGTGTATTTTATGGGACTGTCACTGATTTATTGCCATTGGTTATGTGCTGTGTCACCCTTCCTATTTTAACAACTATTTATTGTCAGATGACTCATTGTTTTCAGTCATATGGGAGGAAAAATAAAACAGTACATACACTGAGTATGCTGTGTGTGCACACTACCTTGTGTGCTGTAGGAATGGAAAAAATGT